CATGAAGCATTAAGAAAAGGAATGTAGACATTAAGACATACACATAGCAAAACCAAAAACACACAAATAGGATGAGAGCACGTTCTTTGAATTTTGATTAAAATAAAACCAATCATAAGACATTTTAAGACAATCAAGCAAATTTAAATAAGAACTATCATTTACTGTATTTTAGAAATTAACATGCATTTGTCTTATTTTCATAACAAAAAAAATTAATGGTAATTCACAAGAATGAGAACTGACACAAATTAACACTAAAACTAACACTACCATGAATAAAGAAAACTCTTATTAAAGTGGAAAACTTACATGTTGGTACTACTGGTGGAATCGTAGGGGGTGGCACAACAGGTGGGGGAACTGGAGGTGGCATAAAACCTACATGGAAAAAAATCCCAAAAGTAAAATAGCACAAGAAAAATTACTTATTTAAAATCAAAGATTCCAATAGCTACAAATGAAACTCCATATTCTTAAAATGGACTACAACCTCCTAATTTGTATATGTATTTTCTATTTTAAAAATGGCTTTTATATTCAAAACCTTATTTGATCCCTAATAAGCTAGGTAAAACAAAGAGATTCTGATTTATGAGAATATCCTATTTATTTACTCATTCAAGTCCTGTGGCATGCTCTATGGTGCTATATAATCAAAGATTAATAGGAGCCAGGTAAACTGTCTATCAACAGTGATGACACAGGGAGAGTTAAACATTCTATTTCAAGCTACAGATCATGCTATAAGCAATAATGTCATCTGTCAAATATGCTACTTTATTTGATACATGTGTATCATTTACTCACTAGACCAAAATATTTCCGTTAACTGTGGATAACACTATGTTTTAAGCATTGAAGTAAATCTTCAATTTAATATTGGCTTTTTAATGATTTCAATTAATTTTAGATAACGAGTCTATGTTTCTCAGGCTGGTCTCAAACTCCTGAGCTCAAACAATCCTGCTACTTCAGCCTCCCTAGTAGCTGGGATCAGAGGAACATACCATGGCGCTCAGCTTCTTAATCATTTTAAATATCAAATCATAAATTTGCTTCTTTGCATTTTGTGAAATATAAAGCTACCATTACATCCAACTAGAAAATAGTGGCTAAAAGAATTTTAAACTGTAAAATCTACTTTGATATTCAAGGTTTGTTCCTCCTCTCACAATCCTGATTGTACCTAAGTTTTGTGGTAAATTATGAGATATACATATTTAATTTTTAATTTTATTTTTAATAAAATATACCTTTTTAAATAAGTGGCTAAAAATAAGGAAAGAAGAAGACATGCTTTTTCAACAAATAAGGAAAAATGACTATAAAGCCTATGCGGTATGATTTTTGAAATAACCACTTAAAAATATCTTCTGAAATAATTTTTAATTTTGAAATCACAAATACAAAAAATTTTTCACAAACTTTTCAATATTTAAAATAAAGTTATTGGCTGGGCGCAGTGGTGCATGCCTGTAATCCCAGCACTTTGGGAGGCCGAGGTGGGCAGATCACAAGGTCAAGAGATCAAGGCCATCCTGGCCAACATGGTGAAACCCCATCTCTACTAAAAATACAAAAAATTAGCTAGGCGTGGTGGCGCCCACCTGCAGTCCCAGCTACTCAGGAGGCTAAGGCAGGAGAACGGCTTGAACCTGGGAAGTGGAGGTTGCAGTGAGCTGAGATCATGCCACTGTACTCTAGCCTGGTGACAGAGCGAGGCTCTGTCTCAAAATGAAATAAAGTTATTAAAATCTGTATCAATTTCCAATTACACATTAAACTGCAACTTAATATATTTGCTTACATGACCTGTAAATTACAACCATTCGTAGACAACAAATTCATTTTTTAGTCTTGCTAAAAACTCTACCCAACATATAAAAACTTTAGTTACAAAAGTCAACATACTGTATTTCTTTTCAAATATGCAAATAATTCATGAATTGAAATATGTTTTAATTTTGAAAAATAATATATATATTGTTTTGACCCAATAAACTTGATTAAAAACTTCCTGAATTAGAGTTTCTAGGTAAAAACTATAGATTACTTAAACACATATCTCATCAACTAAACATATATAATTGCTTATATAGTTTAAGATGGAGCTTTTAGGCTGGTGTGGTGACTCATGCCTGTAATCCGAGTACTCTGGGAGGTTGAGGTGGGAGGATCTCTTGTGTCCAGGAATTCACAAGAATCTCCATCATCATTCTAACCTAACCTCCCATAGTCTAATAATAAAAGTTGTTTTTTTTTGTTTGTTTATTTTTTGGGAGACAGGGTCTCACTCTGTCACTCAGGCTGGAGTGCAGCGGTACGAACAGAGTTCACCGTAGCCTCCAACTCCTGGGCTCAAGCAGTTCTCCCACCTCAGCCTCCTGAGTAGCTGGGACTATGGGTGTGTTCCACCACACTTGTCTACTTTCTTGTTTTTTGTAGAGACAGGGTGTCACTGTGTTGCCTAGGCTGCTCTCACACTCCTGGATGCAAGCGATCCTCCCACTTTAACCTCTCAACGTGCTGGGATTACAGGTGTAAGCCACCATACCCGGCCTAAAAGCTCTATCTTAAACTGTATATTTAGTTGATTAGATGTGTTTAAGTAATCTATGGTTTTTACCTAGAAACTATAATTCAAGAAACTTTTTTTGTTTATCAATAATTTATTAGGTCAGTGCTTGATTTGGCAGCAAATATATTAAAACTGGAATGATACAGAGAAGATTAGCATGGCTCTTGTGCAAGGATAACACACAAATTCATGAAGTGTTCCACATTTAAAGAATAAAAATAATTTATTAGGTCAAAACGAAGTATTCCAAATTCAATTAGCCTTTTAAATATAATTTCTAATGTCAAAATGGAGCCTACTGATTTTTAGGAGGGACATCGCAAATTTTCTGAAGAAATCCTGATAATTATTAGAGAACTTTCATATGAAAACTGAAACAAAAAATTTACATTATTTTAAGAGTAATAATTCTTTTTATTTCCTTTTTTTTTGAGACAAAATCTTGCTCTATCACCCAAGCTGGAGCACAGTGGTGCGATCTTGGCTCACTGCAACCTCTGCCTACCACATTCAAATCATTCTCCTGCCTCAGCCTCCCGAGCGGCTGGAATTACAGACATGTGTCACCATGCCTGTCTAATTTTTCTATTTTTTAAGTAGAGATGGGATTTCACCATGTTGGCCAGGCTGGTCTCGAATTCCTGACCTCAAGTGATCTGCCCACCTCGGCCTCCAAAGTGCTAGGATTACAGATGTGAGCCACTGTGCCCAGCCATGATTTTCAATTATTCGAAAAAAATTCCATTTTTCTCTGTCAGTGCTTCTCCTGGCACATCCTGAGAACAAGTTAGAAAAGAAAACTCTCTGGACCCACCACAGACCTAGTAAAGCAAAAACAGTGGAGGATAGGCCCAGCAATCTGTGCTTTAACAAGTGTATGCATGCTAAGGTCTCAGAACCACTGACCTATGGCATTTAAATCTGGAAGAAGAACTTAAATGCTAATCTAAATAGAGTTCAAATACTAAAACAAAAATTCCTTACCAGGTGGTGGTTGTGAAGGGTTAAAACTTGCTCGTAAAAAAGGAGGTGGAGGGATTGGACTGAATCCAGGAGGAGGAACTGGCATCGACACAGGAAATGCTGGTGGGACTAAACTAACTGCAGGCACAGCTGGCGCCACTGGAATCTTTTGTGGATAGACAAAAAAGTTCACTCATCAGTTTATTCACCTGCATCTTGGAACAACTGAAGGCAAATTATTCTATTTCTTTCAAGAAGGTAATAAAGACCATTAAAAAGGGTTTTATCCCCACTTTTAGTGTACGTGCAAGAGAACCTACTTAGGGTAAAAACAAGGCAATGTTATTCAACAGATAGTTTTTACGTGGAGATCGTGAATTTTATCTTACATTCAAGTGATGTAAAGTAACAGTCACCTAGTTCAATACTGAATATTATGCTCCATATTAAACTGCCATCTCCCCCTCAGCTTAGTAATACCTACCTATGTTATGCAACCTAACCACCTTTAGGAAGCAAGTCAATGACAGCTTTAGAATGGCTTAAATTTCTCATGAATTTATTTTCTTTTCCCAGCATAAGTACTTTTTACTCATTCTAGGTACAAAAAGTAGCAAATATTCATCTGCACCACAGCTTTCTCTCTCTTCTAAACTTCACATTATGTCAAGTGTCTATTCAACATCTCAGTTGTGTTGACTAAAAGATACTTCTACTTAACACATATGAAACAACTGATTTCCAGTTGTCCTTCCCAAAAGAACTCTTCCCACAGTCTTTCCCATTCTCAGACAATGGTAACTCTATCTTTCCAATTTCTTGGACTGAAAACCTTGCCTCTGCTTTTGCTCCTAACCCCAAATCCAATCATGTTATATAAAAAAAAAAAAAGTCCTGTTGGTTACACCTTCAAAATGCACCTAGTATCTGACCATTTCTTACTATCTCCACTGCTAGAAGTCTGTTAGGAGCCACCACCAGCTCTCCTCTGGATTGCTACAATTGTCTTTTAGCTGGTCTCCCTGCTCAATGCTCACTACAGCCTATTCTCAAAATAGCAGCCAGTGCTATCCTTCAAAACTGTAAGCCAGATCAAGTCACTCCTCTGCTCAAAATCCTCCAATGGCTTCTCATCTCTCTTTTGTCACATGTAAAGACGTATCATCCTCATCTCATTTCATGTGAAAGGCAAAGTACTTAGAGAGGTTTATCTTTAACTAACTTGCCTTTCACTGGCTTTATTCTAGCCCACTTTTCACTCCCAGAACATGCGACCATATTCCTGGCACTGGACCTCTGCAATGGTTGCTGCCTCTGAATACAATGTTTTTTCATCAGATAGCCACATGATTAATTCCCTTAGTGCCTTTAAGTCATTGCTCAAATTTCTCATTCTCAATTAGGTCTATCCTCACCATGCTATTTAAAATAGATTAGCCTTACACTACCTTTTTCCTTCCATAGGATCTCATAATCATATTTATTTTACATTTTCTGTCACCACTATTGAGAATAAAAGCTCTTAAAAGGACAGAGATTTGTGGGGATTTTTCACTGATGCTTAGAAGGGTGTCATAGAGCCAATATTCAATAAATATTTGTTCAATAAACATTTTTAAATATGAATAACATCATTTCTAAAAATAATTTTTCAAAAAGTATTTGATTAAACTCATTAAAATAACTTACTATCAGTTTGACTTCTCAGAAAAACATGAATCTAAAAAAAATCCTGTGAGTTCTCAGAAACAATATTTCCATATTTACTTTTATTTTAAACCTAATGTGTTCAGCACAACGATACCATAGCATTAGCAGACTTTTTAAAAAAAAGAGATTTAAAAGAAATATTCTTTTCCCTAACACTACTGACATTTATTCTGATATGGCCTTTTTTGTCCATTTTATAAAGTAAATACATGAGTAAAAACAGAAATGTACAACAACACGTAAGGAAAAAAAACCCACTTCAACACTAACCTGCAACATAGCAACAGGAGGAGGGAAAACCTCTGCCTGGGTTGTAACCACTGTCTCCTTTTCAACTGGAGTTGGGCTCTGAGTTGTCTGGACCGCCTCTTTAACAGGTTCTGAGCTTTTCACAGTTTCCCACTCTAAACAAAATATTTAAAATTGATTTCCTTTGGATAGGTTTAACTTTTCATTTTCTTCTTTGTATTCATTTATTTCACATCTAAGTCCTTCATCTACCTTGGCACATCTTTAAACTATACCCACAACTGCAGGTACGTACCACTCTAAATTTTTGCCTGGATTAATCTGATTAAGATACTATGGAGTTCAAAAAAGCTTGACACATGAGACACAAATGAAAGGCTAAAATATTTCATCTAAAGAAAAGACTTAGAAGGGATATGATAGACTTGTATCTCAATGGCTGGCTGATGTAAGAGAAGCTAACCTTACTCAATTTTTTTTTTTTTAAATCACAAAATAGAACACAAGAAGACCAACTAGGAGAGTATTAATCCAATACAATAAAATCCTTCTGAAAATACAGCTATCCAAAAAGAGAACAAAAAAGCTCTAATGGTTCCTCTCCCATGCTTCTCCATCTCATTCAAAGATCAAGTAAGACAAATAAGATTTACATGACCTTGTCCCTCTGTACCTATTTGCCTTGATCTCCCACTACTCATTCCTCACTCACTCTGCTCAATCTATACTGGTCTCCTTACTTTTGAACACAGACATGGCACTTGCTGCATGCCTTACCCCTTCAAATATCACGTTCTCCATTAGACCTTCTACAACCACATAAAAACTGCAGTACCCCCACACCTACACTGCCCATATACCTTCCCTGATTTTTCTTCTTAGAACTTACTGACATCAAAATACTATATAGTTTATCTATTTTATTATCTGTTTTCTTCACAGATAATACATGTGTGAAACATTGGCTAGTAAACTTTATAGCACTTGAGGCTTTATGAGCCATGTGTTCTCCGCTGCAAGTGTTCAACTGTTATTCCAAAAAACAAAAGTAATATAAAATAGGTAAGTGAGCATGGCTGTGTTTCAATAAAACTTTATTTACAGAACAGGCTACCAACAGGATTTGGACCATGGGTAGTAGATTCCTAGCCCCTGTGGTATAGTCCACAAGAAGAATTTTTGTGTATTTGTCTCACTGCTATAATTCTAGTTCCTAAAATTAGGCCTGACACACAGTAGAAACTAAAACATTTACTAAGTGAATATCCTGGAGAAAACAGCCACTGGCAGAGGGTGGGGTGGGGAGTAGGTATGACAGGAAAAGAACAATAGAAAAATAATGGCTCAAAAATTTTACATTGGTCTGAGAAACAAATACTCTGAAAAGTAGCTAATTCTGATAAAAGAGCTGAAGTGTGAAGAAAAAAGGTGTGTTTATATATTTCAGTTCTTTTTCAAATGTT